AGATTCCTAGAAATTGCCTGGTCAGCAGGCATTTGTAATTTGTTTTTGCTGTATGTTGCCCAGTTCCCTTTTTTAGGGGTGCACCATCTTGCATTCCCACTGTGATGTGTCCTCACAGCCTTGTAAGCCAAGTATTTTGTCAAATATATGTAATCTTCCTATCTGAGAAGAATAGCATCTCAGTGTGGTTTCCTTTTGCATCTTTTTTTGTGTGTGTGTGGGTGGAGTCAGGCATCTTTTCATATATTTAAGCATCATCTTCACTTATTTGTCTGTGAACTTGCTTCTTTTCCTAGTTGGTGGTCTCTTCCCTCTGGTTGTAGAAATGCTATTATGTTACCCCTTTGTGACATAAGTTGCAGATATTTATAAAATTCTATTATCAATGCACCAATTTATCAGTTAAGATTAAAAATTACAAAATAAGCCCTTACGTTTTTTTGATGCAACCCAACAAATTAATAAGGAATTTGATACCAGAGAGATGGTTATAAAGAATAGTCTTCAAACTACATTTTAATTTCTGTTATCTAAACCTGATTTCATTAACTATCAGTACTCAGTTCATCCTCGATGTAGCTAATGTTCATAGTTTACAGGATACTTAGAAATGCCATGTTCAGAGCAGAGGAAATTTCTTAGGGGAAAATACAGTATAAAGCCGATAATATATTGTTTAAAATATTTTAAAAATTGCAAAAATATTTTTTAAATATTTAAAAAAAATTTACTGCTGTTTTTCTTTTTTATGGCTTTATTGAGGTATGAATTGAAAATACTTTAAGTATACACTTGGATGAAAATTTCAACATAAATATATACCTGTGAAACCATCACCACAATCAAGATAATGAACATATCTATTAGCCCTAAGTGTATCCCCAGTGTTGCTGGTGATTGATCTGCTTTCTGTCACTTTAGCTTATTTTGCACTTCCTGTATATCTGATTAGATATAAATGGAATCCCAAAGTAGATATTTGGGGGGATGTGTGGGTCTAACTTTCTTCACTCAGCATAATTATTTTGATTTTTATCCTTATTACTGTATATAGCAATAGTTTTTTTTCTTTTTCTTTTTTTTTTTTTTACTCTTGGGTAGTATTTCATTGTAAGAATATACCACAACTTGTTTATCCATTTATCCACTTACCTGTTAATGGACATTGGGTTGCCAGTTTTTGGCTACTGCAACTAAAACTGCTACAAACATTTATGTACAAATCTTTGTGTAGACCTATGTTTCACTTCTCTCAGGTTTACATCTAAAGTGGCTTGGCTGGGTGGTATCGTAGATGTGTGTTTAACTTTTTAAGAAACTACCAACCTCTTGTCAAAGTGTTTTTACTACTTTGCCTCCCCAAGCAGATGTGACAGCTATAGTTGCTCTACATATTGCCCACATTTGGTGGAGTCATTTGTTTTGAAAATGGCCATTCTAGGGGATGTGGGGTGGTGTCTTGCCGTTTACCTTGCATTTTTCTAGTGTTTAATGATATTGAGTGTCATTTCTTGTGCTTACTAGCCATCTGCGTATATTCTTTGGTGAAGTGCCGATTCAAATGTTTTGTCCATTTTTTATTGGATCATTTGTCTTCTAATTGAGTTGCAGGACTTCATTATAGCATGGGATACAGGTCATTTGTTGGGATATATGTTTTGCAAATATTTTCTCCCAGTTTGTGCTTTGCTTTTTCATTTTATTTCATTTTGAGGAGCAAAAGTTTTAAAATTGATGAAGTCCTGTTCGTTGATTTCCTTCCTTGAAATTTCATGACTTTTTGTATCCTATTCAATAAATCTTTGCCAAAGTTAAGATCACTAAGGTTTTCTATTATGTCTTCTTCTGGAAGTTTCTTTTTTTAATTTTTAAAATGTTTATTTATTTATTTATTGTTTTCGAGAGACAGCATGAGTGGGGAGGGGCAGAGGGAGAGGGAAACAAAGAATCTGAAGCAGGCTCCAGGCTCTGAGCTGTTAGCACAGAGTCTGACGCAGGGCTCGAACCCACAAACCGTGAGATCATGACCTGAGACAATGTGGGACGCTTAACCAACTGAGCCACCCAGGTGTCCCATGGAAGTTTCTACTTTGCATTTTTGGTTGACGATATATTTTAATTCTTATATATGATGCGGTGTAAGGGTTGAGGTTCAGTTTGTTGGTATATGGTTATTCTATAGTCCAAGCACCATATGTTGAAAATAAAGCCCTAATTTAAAAATAATCATTTAGGGACACCTGGGTGGTTCAGTTGGTTAAGTGTCCGACTTTGCCTCAGGTCATGATCTCATGGTTCATGGGTTCCAGCCCCGCGTCAGGCTTTGTATGGAGAGCTCAGGTCCTGGAGCCTGCTTCGGATTCTGTGTGTCCCTCACTCTCTGCCCCTCCCCCTCTTGCCCTCTGTCTCCCAAAAAATAAAAAATAAAATGTTAAAAAAATTTTTTAAACAGGATTTATTTTGTTATATGATGTGAAGAATGGATCTAATTTTATTGTTTTTCTAAATGGCTATCTAGTTATCCAAAACACTACATATTTTGAAGTTTATCCTTTCCCCATGGATTTGAGATGCTACCTTTTACTTATATCAAATTTCCATATGGGAATGGTCTTCTCTTTTTTAAAATAATTAAAAAAAATTTTTTTAATTTAATTTAATTTTTCTTTATTTAAAAACAATTTTTT